ATGGACTAGACCGTTAACACTACATATTACATCAACAAACGCATTCTGGTTCTGCAAGTCAAAGGTCATATGTATCATGAACATTGCTTTCCGTGTGTCGGACAACTTTCGGGCCTTCTCGCCGACAGTGCTACTAGTATTAACTGGGCCTTTCTCTCCGCACCATCACAAATCCTTGTACTATTTCAAACAAGGCCTTTTCGCCGAAATAAATCCTCAGATCGACCTGACAGAGCATTGCAATCGAAGGCGTCCGAACTATTGCGCAACCGGCACCTAGATGATGATGGTGCCGACCGCCGCATCTTTTCATCGACGATCTACTAATGGAGGGAACCTACTCTCAATCAGGATTGACCCCGTCAGATACCATTTGCAAGCCTAGTGTATCTCTTCATGCATTTCACAGCATTGCGGTCTGCGAGAGACTGAGGCGTGCTTCCGGGACACGCCCGGCGTGACTCTTAAGCCTCGTCGGGGTCTACCATCGAGTCGCGCGATATCAAGTTGCTCGTAATCGGACCGAAGGTTTGCTCCCGAATACGATGTCTTTCTTTCAAATGTTCCGACACAGCTCGTCTACGTTTTGAGCGACTTTGAGCAAAGAAATGACAATTGTACAGGCTTGCTCAGTGTCAGTGACCTGGACGATTGACTTCCTCGCCTTGTCGGACGCCGCAAACTCGACCGAGCCGTTCAACGACACACGCGCAGACCTCGGAGGTACTCGCTCTCTCTAGCCTTGTAGTCTTCTCATATTCTTGTTCGATTTTCACAAAGATATGCAGCTGAGATTCTTGAGTGCAATTGCTCGATCGGACTCGAGCAAATCGGAGACCGATCTTTCGGCCGAGCGCGCTCAGCTTCGGGATCTCGCGCGCTCGACGCATGGTGGCACTTGAGTTGCTAAGTAGATTGGCTCGGCTCTGGTCCCATACACCACAAGCTATCTCTACATAACCCAAACAGCGAGATGCTGCTTGGCCGCTTTTGACGGACGCTCGACGGCTCCCTTCGCGCCGGCTAACGCGGGCACGGTGCGACGTCGCACGACACGAATATCAGCGAGTACCTCACTCGGACAATATTCAGCCCTCGCCCCATTCGCTCACCTTATATTCGTCTTGTGCGACCCCTTCATCAGCACCATCAAAGAGATGCTCAACTTTCCTGAAGCCTCGCATCGATGCCCATGCCACTTGATCCTCGTTGCTGCACCCGAACACTACTGTCGACCTGTGACCTGTGAGGATCACCTGAGCCACCCCCACATCGTTTACTCTCGTCGTCAACGTCAAGCGACCACTCGCATGCGATCACTTGCCCTCACATTTCTTTCTTGATCGAATTGAAGAGTCTTATCGACGCGGCAGGCTCGGAGTCTGTCGGAACTATGTTGCACGACTCGGCGAACATTTGATCGACGCCCATCCGCATTTCGACCGACCGAACCGACACCCCTCTGCAGCTCGGTCTCCCGCTGTCCGTGGCCATCCCGTCACCACGAGTGCAAAGTCACAATCCGCTCGCCCCTCGCAATGGCCGCCTCGACCGCCTCGACCGTCGACCTTCCACCGGACTCGGCTCACCGTCATCAATTGACCTACTCACCGTGAATGCCAACTCCACAATCACTTCATTCTCGACCCATCTGCCAAGTTCGCCTATCGACACGAGAGTATGGGACGGAAATTCGGGGTGGGTGGATGTCGCGCGACGCCCAGTCTCTTTGTTCGATGGCCGAGCTGGTACGTGATATCTACGTGGCTGGCACAACCAACTGAACGAGTGTGGTATGTCTAGTCGATATTCGATCGAGGCCCGGTCGTGTGTGCGCTCGTACACCCTTGGGCGCATGTTTTATCTTTCCTTTCGGCGCATTTACTCCGTACGCACCCCAACAGAGCAGCGAGCGAATCCTCTTTTGAGGAGTCCAAACGACCCAATGCAAGTCAATGGGGTCCCCATCGGCCGGCGACGACGCCGACGCCATCGTCAACAGTGGTACCGTTTACATGGTCATGGTTGACGCCGTGACCGCTTGCGGACTTCGCTTCAATCCCCCGCTGAGGCTACTATCAGACAGCACAGCGTCCAAGATGTACACGTGCAACCCCTCCCGTTCTTCACCGACTCGTTCCCCGGCGGATCCACGGTGTGGACCATCTCCAAAGACACCTTCAACTTGGCCAAGTTGACGACACGAACTGCTTGGCCAGGCGTGATGGGTGGCGCCCAATGGCCCCGATGGGGCGGTGGGGCGGCCGGAGGTGCGGGCCACATCTTGGGCGACGCTTTCATGCAGAACCTTTACACGACGTTCAAATCCAACAATGCGCGTGGTTGGGTTTCCCGATTGAGCTAGATAAAGGGTGGAGTGTGTCTAGAGTGGCCGGGGCGCGGTCCAACCGTTCTTTCGTACTTTCTGATGCTGCGCAGAGGGGCTTGGGAGTTGTTTTGTCTTTTGGAGCTTTATTCCGGTGTTGTAGCTGCCCACTAGCTGTCTAGAATTACCAGTACAATATGTTAATGTGGGGTGTGAATACAGGGTGGATTTTTAGAGCGCCAAAACGCCCTTGGTCGAGGGACATCGTCGGAGCCATCGGTTTGAATCGCTTTCGGATCGCCAACGCCAAAGCTTTGAAGGCGGATTCGCTCTGTGCTTGTTTAGATTGAGGTGTCTGTCAGCTTGCTGCCCATGTGTTTTTACGCAGAGACAATGGTCATGGAAAAGGTGGAGCGAGCCAATGTCGGGAGGACCAGCGTTCCACCCTGTCCTGTGAAACTCAACTTGTGGTGATCTTTCGCCTCTGATAACATCCACGTGAAGCGTCACCTGCACCTTGGGCAAACGGACTGAAAGACGTGCGGGATCATCTCGCATGACAGGTCCCGATCTTTTCCCGCTTGAGTTGAAGGTGCCGCAGAAGTAAGGCCGCGACGAGATGTCGAGCACGGCTCGAGAGAGGGCCTGTCGGTCGGCAAAGGTAGTGCGCCGCGATGTCAGTGCGGGTGGAGGAAGACGGATGAAGCACTAGCTGCTGGACATACCTTCGTCGAGTGGGTGCGATTGTACCGTACTCCTGATTCCCTTGCGTTCACCGAGCGCGAGCTTGAACGCCTCGCCGAGCGCGAGCGCACTGTCCTCGGCGGTGTGGTGGTCGTCGATCCACAAGTCGCCTTTGCATTTGATGGTAAGCGACATTTTGGAGTGCTTGGCGAGCGCATGGTACATCTGGCGTATCGGCGGGCACACTCCGTGGTCACGGTACACGGAGCAGATCGCAATCGCGATGGGAGTTGATGCACGAGGGACGAGAGACGAGGCAGGCGAATCGACGTCAGCGTGCAGAAGCGATAGTATGCGGGGAACACTGGCATGGCAAGCTCACATGGTCTAGGATCCGATGCCTGTTGCTGATGTTGATCTCCTGCGCGGCGCCGACCGCGACGTCGAGCGTGAGCGTTATGGCGATGTCGGTCTCGTTCGTCTTGCGCGAGATCGAAGCGCTTCGTATTGTTCTAGACATGTTCAGGGATGCGATGTTTGATCTAAAGCAGAGGGAGAGGGGAGACGGCGCCGGCGCAGGGCGGAAGGAAGCGAGGCCGAGAGCAAGCGCGGCGCGGTCTGGCGCGGTCGGACGCGCGCGCTCGCGCGAGCTCGCGCGCGTCGTTCTCGTCCTCAGCAATTAGCAAATCAACCAAAGACTCCGAGTCGAACTCGAGAGTAGTGTGAGCTATCGGCTACACACAAGGTCCGACCCGAGTGATGCATGATATAGCTTCTTTCACTTCTCCTCCACTTCTTCGGCTATGGGTTAACGTTGGGACTGATAGCCGTTCTGTTTGACGTTTGACGCTGAAACAATAGGGGCTAGTGAAATTAGCCGGACACGTAACCGTCGCGCCCCCGCGCCTCGGTCCCTTACCATGCCCGCTCCTCGTCGACAAACGGCTTTGGCCGTTCACCCTCTAGCTACATCGAGCTTTTAGAGCCCTCAGTCTTTGGTGTGAGTAGACCTTGTGGCAGTGCACAACAAGTCGCTTCGACCACCGTCCCAGGGCCACCTGTGCTGACCCGTTTCTGACTCCGCTCGGCCCCTGTTTACGAGCGCTTCGTGTAGGCGCCGCGTGTTTGCTCGTTCGAACTGCCGGGGCTGAGACTGTTTTCGTCCCAACACCGCCTTCTCGTTCAACATGCCAGTCTCGACCGCGCAGAAATGGCCCGCTGCCAACTCTCGATGGAATTCAATCGAGGATCTGAGCCTGCTCTTCCACCTTTCTTTACTTGAAGCAAACCTTTCGCCGTCGTTCACCTCCGCCTCGTGCCCTGCCGAAAACGGCCAGCTACCAAGCATCTCAATCATGGCCAACATTCCGGGCTGCAAGCACGTCGTTCTTGCGCAAGTAAGACAACCATCGCCCCAAGAGTGGGTCGTGGATCGCGTCCCACTTTTCCGAACCGCCGCCATTGCGAGACTGCAGGAAAAAAGTGGCGCGGTCGGCAGAGGCCGCAAAGGCAGCCGCCCCAAGTCGAAGGCAAACCCCAAGAAAGTCCTCGCCCACGGTCACAGGGAGGAACCTGCGGATTTGGAGGTCAGTCTTGCCCTCCATCGGCGCCGCTGCTTTGGTGGGAGCGAGTCGAACTTGGCGGTGCAACAGGCTCGTTATTGGTGGAGAGTGCACTCATGTACCGGTATTGCTCTATTTGACGTTTTATCATCCCAGACGTACTTGAACCGTGGGTATATCGACGTCGGCAGCGAGCTGTTGGGTCCAACCGACCTTACCCGTCTCGAAGGTTCGCTCCGGTCGTGCGCCCGCCGTGAAGGCCGCTTTCTCCGCGCGTTCAGGACCCAGAAAGGTTCCGTTACTTTCTGCTGTGCTATCGGTGCCGCTTGCCCATTCAGGCTCCAATTTCAAGTGCCTACCACACCGTCGCCTGGGGTTGAATGGAGGTGTACTCGGCTTTGCGCAACGCACTCGTGCCGAGCTGTCGACACGCCCCTCATCACCATCATGGATAGGCAGATGATAATTTTTGTAAGTCTATAATTTTCCTAATCATCCACCATTGTACCCTTACAATCCCTGATACGGATGGATAGCACCTCTTCTCAGCCGATAATCAGGCTCGGCACGCCACCGGAAGCCCTGCGAGCACCCGCATCTCAAGCCGCTGCCCCGGCCGCCAATCGCCATGTAGGTTGCGACCGCTATCCCCGTGATTTCGCACCGGATCTTGTAACGTCAGCGCCACTGACTGTTTGGTATTCTGGATCCCGTCAAAAAGTTGAATTTCATCAAAGGCGAAGAAGATGACGACGAACCTGAACCGGTGGAAGAAGAGGAGTTGGCAGCGGAGCCGGCTGCGCATCGTGCATCGACGCCCGTAGACATGGAGGAAGACGATGATGGCGAGCTCGACGGCGGTGGAGAGCTTTACGCCCAGCAGGTCCGTTTGCCAGAAGAAGACCACGAGGATCTGAATCAACAGTATCTCAGGAAAGGGGTTGTCGAGGGCCATGGTGCACACAAGGTGCAACTGCCGTCGCTTCGGCGAGAGTCCCTCGTCTCGCCAGCCACGCCACGACCGTGATGTACGTCAAGAGAGCCGAGAGCGTCGCCAGGTGCCCTACGAAAGCAGACACCCTGCTCTTCCCTTCGTGTATGAGCTGAGGTGCTGACCGACGTCTCCCCACTAGATTGCTCGAAACTCGGGTGAGGTGCCCCGCTCCCAAGCACCCGACCTTGCAGTCTCGAAAGGTCTCAAGCAAGAGCCAGACGGCACGTCAAGTCTCAAGCGGCCTACTGAAGCAACTCAAGACTCCGATTTGGCTCGACCCACCAAAAAAAGTGGCGATCGTCCCTGCCAAGAAAGTGCCGACGATCCCCAGGTCACAAACGAAGCAGGCGAGCGGAGCTGTCATTACGACCGAATCGACGAACGGCGCCGTCGCGACTACCTTGCCCACTGGCTCGGTTTTCGATGCATCTGAATCGTGTCCACGAGCGGCGGCCGCGCCCGGCGTGACTGTTTCCAACAAGGTGTCGGCGGTCGCGGCGACATCCTTCAAGAAAGCTTCGACTTCTCCCCTCCCGTCGTCGCGTCTGGCTCGACCAGCGCCAAGGTAACAGCCGCTGGCGCTCGAGCTCAAGTAGTAGCTCAGGCACACCGCCGAAGCCGACGATCAAGTGCCTCTTGCCATCTACCGCCGACCAAAACCGATCCAAGCCGCCCGCTGTGGAACTTCCTGTGCGACGGCCGACCGTCAGATTCGCTCGAACCGAAGTCTTCTCGACTGCGGATGGCCGATCCACCACCGTCTCCGCCAAAGGCGACTTCCTTGGAGTTTGGGTGCCCAAGCACTGATGACGCCTCACGCCTTGATGGCGAACAGGGGCGGTTGTAAAAAAACGTAGAGAAGTGAAGCTTATACCAGTTTTGAGTACATTGGGTCCGCTGGGCGGTCTCTTTGCTCCGGCTTATAGTAGTAGACATAATAGTCAGCATGATGGCTGAACTTGGACTCACTGGACTCGGTACATAGTCGATGAGTGCAATGATGAGTCCCAAGTTTGCAGTAAGTAAGTCTCATACTTGTCGACCGACCAAATGAACTGAGACATTATTGGAGCCAAGAGTGAAGGCCAGTGTCACGGTGTCGCCAGCACGCCTCCGTCAAATCTCAGCGGTGATTCGAACACGCGCCGGTCACAGTTTGGCCAGGTTTGGCCTATGACAAAGGATCGACCACGTGCCGCGAGCGCTTCCGCTCCGTCCTGGCTCCCACCTCTCATCTCCGTCGTTCTGGGGACTCTTGTCCGACATGAAACATGGTGCCGAGCTAAAAGCTCGCCCAAGTGGAATTGTGTCGTATGCCAGTGGTACCGTCAAGGACGCCTGCGTCAGTTTCGACGCGTTGCACGCGCGCCTCGCCGCACTGCCGCATCAGAAGCTCCCCTCGACATTCTGGCAGGCGCTGCATCGCCTTCACATCCTCCTCAAGGCACTGGAACGTGTGTTCACCCTGGAATATTGAATTCTACTCCCGACTGAGCTCATTATGCTGACGTATGAGGTTGTTTCCCACCCACAGCAGCTACAGTAACAGCGTCCTTCACCACCACCGTCCCTCTACCTCCGCCCCTACTCGCCCTTCCATTTCCGTGACGGCCGGCCCCACGCCAACACGATTGGTCGTCCGTATTCCGGCTGCCACGGCGCCGCAGATCAAGCGATCGCGATCGTATTCCGATGACGACGACGACGATAGCGACCTGGAAACGGACTCGTCGTCGTCGGGCTCGAGCGCACAACTCTGGACCCCTCCTCGGAGTCGATCGACGACGGCCAGCAAGTCGGCCCAGTCGAGCGATGGCAATGATGCTCGCAAGAGACCTCGGATGGTCACCGCGGAGACTACGAACATGACGTCACCCTTGGTACGCTACCGGGGGTCGACCGTGGAGACAAGCAAGTCACCTCGAGCGCTGGGCCAACCCCGTGCATCATCAGGTCGAGTGGACTGGAGAGCGGTTGCGCAACTCGAAACGATCGCCAACATTTCGCCAGCGACTCCTGGCGAGCAACTCGCACGCGCACTTCATTCGTTCGGAGATCCAGCGTTCCAAAACAAATTCGGCAGCTTTGTGTGCGACGTCATCAATCCGTCGAGGCTTGAACAGTTCTCGGCGGCTCGTGACGACGACTTGACGAGTGTCGGCGGCCAAGCAGGGGAGAGCGGAGGGCGGCCTTCCTTGGATGCGTGGACAGACCGGGAGCAAGCAGCCAAATCCGAGTTGATCCGCCTGTGCAGACGCGTGCACTCGTTGCAAGACAAGGAGATGAGCATCCGGTATCAACGATGTCTCGAAGGGATGCGGCTGGTGCAAGTGATCACTCGGTATGTCTGGTGCTCATCCTTCAAGGTTTGCAGCACGTCATCCGAAATCTGACCGCGACCGTGTGCTTCGAGGGGCCCTCCACAGACTCAAGATGACTTCCAAAAGGGTCTGGGGCTACCTACGGAAGGTCGAACCGTCTCTGGCGAACTCGATGACAGAGAGTGGGTTCGAGGCCATCTGCAAACGCGGTGCCGCCTTCGCTGTCGCGTGGGCTTTCGGCAAGTCTCTTCCGTGGTCTCACACCACACATGTTGCCCTATCCCGTTTCTGACACCTCCTTCGCGACGCACCCCTTCCCTCTCCCTCATTCGCGCACAGGCCGTCCCTACGTTGCTCTCGTTTTGTTTTTCGTGACAGACGGATTCACGATCGACAACACGGTCAGCTTAGGATCCGCAATGGAAGGACTGCTCGCCGGCTCGACTCCTCCAACAAATGGCCGAGCGGGGAACGCCGCGACGAAGAAGTGGTCCACCGATTGTATGTTATGCACCGGTGCTTTAGTTAGCAATTCTTTCGTCGACTAACTCGAGTACCCACCGATCGCTGTAGATGCATATTTGCAGAACGGGCTGCGATACCTTCAGGCCACGGTATTGACTCTTCGGACCCTCGCTCCGCCGATCCCCGTCACGTGGCAAGGCGAAGACGTACTCCTCTCTGACGACAGCTACGGGAAGGGGAAGAGCCAACAAACAATCTACAGTGTCGGAGGATCTTGCCTGTCGGGCCACTGGGCCGCCAAGAAGCACATCAGCAACGCGGATGTCTTGTTTTCCTCGCTTCAAACGGAGAAGATCGCAATGAGCTTGGCCGACGCGGCTCGGTGCCTTGGAAAACCGAGGGGATTGGGAGTGGTCCCACTTGTGAACGAGACCACCGACGACGCCCTTCTGCCAAGAATAGAAGCGACCGACCTGGGCATGCAGCTCTTGTCGACCAGTTCAGGTGCGAATGAGACGAGAAACAATGGTACCGCGTGAGCCATCATGCCAAATGTCTTGCTCCGTTCCCGGCGTTGCTGCACCCATCTGACCAACTTGTCGGTCGTCGCAGCAGCACCACCCTTACCAATAGCTTACCAATAGCAGAAGTCGACAAGATTTTCTTCGATTTTCGCAAGGCGTTGTTGATGGAGCTATCTCGAGCGCACCTTTCGACAACTTTGCGTCGATCGACGCGGCCATGGACTGCGTGCGAAGGCTCGACGTTGCGGACCCGGACACGCTCTGCAAATCTCTCAACATTGAAGCACTGCAATGCACTGATACTACCTCAGGGCCATCCAGTAAACGAGGTGCCCTCCGCCAGGTTTGCATGGCGCTGGGCGCGCCCGCCGGGGCCTGGGAGACGGACTCGAAGGCTGCCGAGCTGGGCTCGCACGGCCCCCAACACGGTGCATCACTCCCGTCCGCTTCGCGCCTTGACATCGACATTGATGGCGAGACCTTGCGACGAGGACAAGATCGGTTACGGCTGTTGCTTGCTGAAGAGGAAGCAATGGGCAACATCGAGGATATCTCCACCCTTAGAGACTTTAAGGCGATGCACGGGAGGTTGGGACGCTCGGGCGGCAAGAAATTTCGCATCAAGAGAGAATTCATCGAGCAGTGAGTCCGCACCGCCTCGAGCAGTGTTTGACAGAACGCTTTCCTATGGTTTGCTGACGACGTCGGACTCATCGCTGGCGAAGGTACGGAGCCATCATCCGAGATCCACTCAACCCAAAGGAGCCCCTGATTGTCCTACACCCTGCCAAGGTCTTCCCCGAAGCCGTCAAGCGCTCGGTCGAGAGCTCAATCCGCGACGACCTTTTCTTTCCGCCGGGCCCAATGAGGATGGAGCGTGAGCTTCGCCTCGAGAGAGGGGAACAAGCACAAGCATCGTGTATGATTGGATTGCAGCTCCGATACGCTAAGGCGCCGTACGTCATCAAATCGGCGAAGGACCTCGGACCAGTGGGCGGCGCCGTCCTTGCTGCGCTTCATCCCGTCATCTCGTATCTTGACGACTCGGTGAGCCACCTTCTCGCAGTATTCCTGAACGCAAGCGTATGCTGTGGTGTTGACTCAATGGACCTGGTGCTGCATCGACCTAGCTCAAAGCGACGAGTCCCGAAGCGCACGCGACGCTCGAAACAACACAGGCTCTGGCCCGAGCGAACCTGGACAATGTGCCGAGATTCCAGACAAACGTGGCTATCAACTGGGAGAGCGTCATGGGAGGTCACATCGATCCCGACGTCTCGAAAGCGATGTGCTCCCTGTTTGTCGGCGGCTCGTTCGACGGCAAGCCATTCGCGCGAGGTGAACTTTGCTTCCACGAGCTGGGCCTGATCATCGAGTGCGGGGACGGGCTGGCAGTGCACTTTCAATCCAGCCGACTTATTCATTCGAGTTTTCCCTTCAGTGGCTCGAGGTACTCGGTCGTGTTCTTCACTAGCCAAGAGTTCGCGAGCAAGGTTGCGGCGGGCCGGTCGGCAGACGCTTGAAATGGTCTCGACCTCCACGGCGACTCTTTTACCTCATGAGACGTGATGGTTCATAATCTATCAGAGCTGAAGGATTGTAAGTGTTGCGACTAGAATGGCCTGAGATGACGTCGTTTCCGCCTAGTCCTCGGACTCGGCCGATGTAAGAACTTGGGGACGGTCGCCGAGCGTTAAAGTTGTTGTAGACGATCATTGAAGTGACGTGTTGTAAACAATATTTGAAGAGTGAGCGATGCTGCTTTCTGAAATTACAGTGTGAGCGTGCTGTAGCTGTCAATGAGATGGGATCCACTGGTGAGCAAACGATGACGGTATCATTGCTCGCCGGCAGCACTCTGGCAGCTGGGTTCGCCACGCCTGTGCTCGCAGGCCTCGCGAGCGCTCGCGGGAGAACCCGCGCCCTGTCGGGCCTGGGAACGTGGGCCTGGAGCGTGGGCCTGAAACGTGGCCAACTTCACACACCCTCACCACGTCGCTTTGGAGCCATTCTTGGGTGCTGAACCTGTTGTTTGTGTACTCAAGTGTATATGGTTCTCTTGGTGATGGCCAAATGTGCGTGTTGAGCTTGTGAGACGCGATTGAAGACACGATTCGTCGTGGTTTTGACGAGGTATCCCGTCAAAACTTTGGCTGGTGAGCTTGGACCCATTACCGAAACCCATTGTCAGTTAGCGGAATGTAAGGTCTGAGCGAGTGAAAGAGCTAATGCAATTAGGCGCTCGCGCTTCAAACCACGCGCCGTGGTCTCCCGCGTCTTTCCCACCTCGCTCACGCAAAAGGACGCGCGACGGCGTCGTTGGCGGCCACCTCACTCAGAGCGCGGTGGGCTGCGTCGACCGGCGCTGTGGCAGCACCACGTCCACATTGGCAGCGACCCAACAAACGCGAATCTGGGCCAAGTCTAAGACGACATGGACGATGACACGCTCGAGAAATTGTACGTGAGTGTCCGGCGCCGCGTAACACTGGCCAGGAGGTTGCGGCTTTGTTTCACCCACCCAGACTGACCTGGCTGTCGACGCCTCTCTGTCCTCATCACTTCTCTTGTCTCTCTCTCGCGTCCGTAGTTACTCGACTCGGTGCAGAGTCTGCTATCGCCCAGTTTACCCTCACCTCCGCCGTCACCTCGTCAGAGCACGGTTCTTGAAGCGCCAGCCTCGTCCATTGTCTTGAGCTCTGCTGCTGGGGACTCGGTCTCGTCATCCGCGACGGCCAGAGCGACGTGGACCGGCGGCGCACGAGCCCCTGCGCCGCCACCGCCGCTCGGGCTGGGCTTTGAACCCTCACACTACTCGGATCTGCTCCATACCCACAGCACGATCCCATCCAAGTCAGTTGAGCGTATTATTTCGATGAAAACCAGCCTCGCTACAGAGAACTGACTTTCCTTGCTTGCTTGTACACGTCAGACGTGCTCGGTCCTCTCCGTCGGCGCCACCATCGCACTCAGCCCTGGCCCCACCACCCACCGCGGATCCACGACGACCCTCACGCACATCACTTGAAGGCACTAACGGCCTCACACCTGACATCCGCGCATCGCCCTTCTCCACACCCCGTACAAGGCCGCCGGTCACCCACGACGAGCCCAAGGTTGGTTCCGAGGACTGGACAAAGAATTTTAGCAAGGACCGACTCCGGAAGATGGCCGCCCGGTGCGTCACTCCTTGTCACACGTAGCCAGGATGGAACGCGACTGAACCTTTCCTTTCCGTGTTACCCTTACTGCAGGTTTCGCGCCACAGGTCGCGAGCTCAAGCACATGGGCGACAAACTCGCACAGGAGTCGACAGCCAACCACGCCGTTGCGCTCGCGTACCAAACCGACGCGATTCTGCTGTACGTATTCGCCTTTTGGTGCGACGACCAAGCGGCCAAGACGTGCATTGCACAAAACTGGCAAACCATCTTTGGGCTCGTCGCCTACGTCAAGCGAGCGGCGCAAAAGGCCAAACTAGGACTCTTGGAGGGCATATGGTGAGTTTCAGTCGACAGTCGGCGCTATGCGAGTGCGCAGCCTGATATCTGACGTCGCAGTATGCTTTACTTGCGTTTGTTTTCAAAGCACTCGAATGGAATCGATCGCCGTATACACGCTAGCGATGTACGAACAGAAGCAACTCAACCATCGCGGGGCCCAGCTGCTCGCATCCGGTGCCGCTGCATCGACGTTGACATCGAGCTCTACCAAGCTCCCTGTCGCTTCCTCGTCAGTTATAGTGCCCCCAAGATCGAACCTACCGGCACCACCCCCGTCGCTTCCCCCTCGACCGGGTCCGCCGCCTGCGTCCGGCGCTTCGCAGGATTCGCAGTCCCCCGCCTCCGCCGCTTCGCCACCTGGCATGGTTGCGAGTGGTTCGGCACCGGCCACTGCCGGGTCCTCGATCGAGGTGCTGAAGTTGTTCGTCAAAGCCGGCTCGGAGTTGTTCCGATATCAACGTTTGTGGGACGAGGCCGCCGCCCACTTTTCGCCGGATGCGCTGGCAAGATCACTCCCGTCCACTTTGGAACTGTGCTTGCAATCGAGCATTTGGATTGATCCCGGAACGTTCGTATGGCCGCAGCCCCGGGTAACAGAGGAAGGCGAAGAAGGCGGTCTGCATACGTGGGCCTTCGCTTGGCCGGTCGAGCTGGGCAAACCCATGATGGTCGTTCACACCGTCGCGTTGATGCGATGCATGCTGCAAGAGTGGGCGAGGGAGAATGCGCGAGGCTTCACCCTGACCAGTGTCGATGTTTGAGGATTGAGTGGTGTGAATAGAAGTTATGTTGTATCCTTGTCAGTGCAAGTCTCGTTGTGTCAGGTCTGGCTTGCTCAGATCATGCCTCGGGGATGCCAGCCCACTGGCGAACGAAAATCCACCAGTTGCTGGTGACACGAGTTCAAGGTAGTTTGATTGAGTGTAATTCTACAGCGGTGGGCTGAAAGAAGACTGTTCATGGTTCACATGAGATGGAAGAGTCAGTGTCTGGTCTAACTTGAGATTATTTTTATTTTTATTTTACTGGGGCTCATAAATTGCAATCCTTCGGGTTGGCTGGGACCGCTAGAAAAAGAGCTAAAAGAGGTTATAAAGCAACGACGGCAAGCAATTGGGTGAAAGTCAAACCCCTGCGCGCAAAGAGCGCTGCGCAGATCAAAACTCGCCGAGCACCTAACGCGGACTCCAACGGGCGGTGAGTACTGCTGCCGCTTCACGTCCCAAGAGCGGGAGCGAAGATACTCGAAAACCAGGCAAGAGCGCCTAGAGAAAGAAAAGGGGAGAATATACAAAAATTCACGACTGGAAACACGGAGAACCAGGAATACTAAGACAGAGAGGAGGGGAGGAGGAGGGGAACACACCCGAGGGGCCAAGGGAGGGGGTCGAAGCCAGAGCTAGAGGTCCCCAGGGACTGACAGGCCGCAGCCAAGCCCCAGCTACTCGTCACCCCGACAGCGCCTGATGTCCTCCCTTGGCTGAGTCTCGAGTGCTGGCTGTTGAGCCGTCGGGGCCGAGCGAAAACGATCCAATACAACGAAACAAGCCTCGCCTTGACGCGAGGATATTGACCAAAAAAACGAGTGACCTTTCTTCCCGATCCATGCCGTAGATCTTGACCAACGCGAACGAACGATCTATTCGACGGAATCCAACACACGGCTTAGGAATAAAAGGAGAAGTGGCTGAAGCGTAGTCAACAACCGAGCAACAGGAACGAGAAGAGGAAGGGAAGGGAGAAAGGGGAAAGAGAGGGGAGAACTTCACAAAGCCTCCAACGCAACGACGATCGACCCGGCTTGCCGATCCATCCAAGAACGAAAATCGCTACTGCACAAAGTAGAGAGAGGGAGAGGTGCGCAGCCTTCCACTGCGCAACAAGTTTCAAGACAGTCAGCTTCTGACCGAAAAGGAAGGGAGGAAAGGAGGGGAGGAAAATGGGAAGGAAGGACTTAACTCGGTCATCACACCTCCCAATCTCGAACCCCAGGCACAAAACCCGCTCGAGAGAGAAAATCTCGCTCGAACGCTCTGAGCGCACTGGGAAGCGAGGGAGGGGCCACGACGTTGTCCAGCTCGAACCGCTGATGAACGCGCCAGCGGAGCAGGTGCAGCCGCTGGAAGCCGATCGCGCAGGCCAGCCGAACCCACATCCATTTCGAGGTCGTTCTCCCACGACCCCGCAAAAGGGGGAGCCCCATAGTCAGCTGCTCCGGAGTGAACGTCGACGGATCGACGTCGGTATCCTCGATGCCGAGCTTGTCAAGCAGAATGCGTAGCACCCCACCCCAGAAGCTGGTCGAGTACGCACACTCGAAAAAGTAGTGGGACACCGTCTCGATGACCGCTGCATCGTTGCCACAGAACAGACACGTCGGCGAAGAGGCATGACCCTGAGTATGCTGCCTCTTGCGCGTCGGCGTCACGTCGTACATGAGCCGCCAGTGGGTGTCCTGCTCGACAGCAGACGCGAACCGGTCATGAAGCCATCTCCAGAAGCGCTTCCTATCGCTCTGAGAAGTCCCATCAGGGAAACGCTTGACACGGTCCTCCCTCCCTGGGAACCGCACCTTGTTCACAAGCCGACGAAGCTTGCGAATCGTAAAAGGTCGGGAGAGCCCAAAGAAGTTGAAGCACCGAGGACGGGGAGCCTCCTTGAGAGGTATCCGAGCAGGTCGCAACGCGGTCTTGGGCAGCAACGCTTTCGCCTTGAGCAACTGACCCACGCGCGACCACACGTGCTCGTGCTGTAGGGCGGGTTCCTTAGAGTGCTGCCAGAACCCGCGTCGATGACCAACCAGAGCCCATCCCTTCCCTTCGTCCCTCCAGTACAGGTCCGCGATCTGCGCAAACTTCGCCACCGCGTCCGCATCGTCATATGCGTGCTGGGCACCTTCAGCATAGAGTGAAGGGAGGCGAGGCGGAAGCGAGAGCAATTCGGGAAGCGTAAGGAGTTCGGACTTGATGGTTGGAACTGTGACCCTGGCCGCTGCAACGACTGCCCCCCAGCGCGTCGAGTCGCGATACAGCTTCTCGACCCGAGCCGTGCTGCTGAAGAACCCCCACGGACTGAAATCGCGGGTCGCAGCGACGAGGCACCTCCAGCTCTCGCGAGCTAGGGGCGCCCAGATCGCCTCGTCCGAGCCCGCCACAGCATCCCAAAATCGAAGCGCCACCGAATGAACGATGTCGCCAATCGAAATCAAACCCAAGCCACCGTCCTCCCGAGCCTGGAACACGAAATCGCGAGCGACGGTATTTCGCCCTGCTCCTCCCCAGACAAAGTCCGTAAGTGCCGTCTCCGCCGCCTTAATGAACCATTGAGGCGGTATGTCGAAGGACAGCACGTGGAGGACCGTCGAGATGATGTGAGCGTTGGCATAGAAAACCTTCCCACTCGGCGAAAGTGTCCGGTCTCGAGCGGCGCGGGTCTTGGCCTTGATCCTGTCAAGAACATGGGTCCAAAACAGTTTCGAGTCACCGTGGCGAAAGAAGGCATGGCCGCACCACTTGAAGCTCTCCCCCTCCTGCACCGTTGGCAGCGCCTGCGCAGTCTCGTCCCGAAGCCAGTTCGGTCCGAGTGGTAGCACCAGCGTCTTGTCCGTGTTGGTCTTCCCGTTGGTAGCCTCGTACCACGTCTGCGACAGCGTTTGCAGCTTCGACAATGCCGCCGGTGACTCCACCACCACCACAGCATCGTCGGCAAACGCCAGATGCGTAAGCTGCGCACGCGGCCCCCCTGGCCACACCTTCTGCAGGTCGAGCGCGATCCCGCGCCGAACGAGGGCGTCGAGGAAGGGCTGGAACGTGATGTTCCAAACCGGGCACGAGAGGGGATCCCCCTGACCGAGACCACACAGCAACCGCACCAAGTCCGTGGGGAACCCATTGACAAGGTAGCGCACCCCCAGAGTCTATAGGTAAATCACCCCCCACCCCCCCCCCCCTAAAAAAGTTAGCTCTTGGAGTTAGGTGGTGGCCCCAGAGGCAAAAAAGTCACGTGATGTTGTGTTTTTGATCTTCATTGCATCGACTCAACATCAGCACGACCCAGTGTAGCTCGAACTTTTCGTGGCCATGCAGAGAGATTGCCTCTATTGCTGTTCCCGCACCGGCCGGTGCCGATTCCTGTTCCCGCACCGTCCGGTGCCGAAACAGATCTCACTATTTGGGCACTTTCCATACCAGGGCAAATGCCTCCCACCAGCGCACTTGAGGCCGGCCCTCGCAGCCTTCGGCCACCGGCGCTCGCGATCTCCGAAATGGGAAACCCATTTCGGGCTTCGGTGTATCGCTGGAGCGGAGGCACGGCAGACTTGAGGACTTGTAGACGTAGATAAGTTTATTTTAAATCTGTACCGATCCCAACTGGTGTGTACATGCTTAATTTGTGCTATTATGCATTGTGCTTTGAGTGTATTCAATTACACTAGTCGTTTTGGCCTTGACGACTTTGCCGCGCGCGGTCCACTGCCTCTTGTCGTCGGGCCAGAACAAATGTACGGACGTGTCCGTCCCCTTGATTTAGGGGACGGACATGAGGGGACGGACATGTCCGTCCCTTGATTTTAGGTCCATAATATCAGATAATACTGATGCTGTTGAGCAATTATATGAGTAGAATCACTTTGAGTCTGCAAGGAGAACATGATAGCATGGGTATTTTAGTACTCATGATGAATCGAAATTGTCATGTCTGTACCGCAGATCTCGTGTCCGTACCGCAACCCCACCGCATGTCCGTCCACTTGTCGGTCGCGCGGTCTGCGGTACGGACATGGCTAGGAGATGTTGGCACACATCCGACCAATTGCAACGCCGCGGCTTCGCTCGCTCCGAAGTAGTCAGTGTGACAGAAGACATGTGGCTGTATAGATTAAACCTCGTTAATACCTCATTACATCAACGAATACCTAGGAATCATCTTCGAGTGGTGATTTTGCCCGTCAAAGGCCATGTATAGTGCAAGTCATGAACGCCGGACGATCGAGCCCCTTTTCGCCGACAGTGCTAAGTGGACGATCTTCTCCGCGCCATCATCATTTCCCTGTACTTTTGCAAACGAATCCCTTTTCACGGAAGAAAAAGGCGTCAGATCGACCTCACAGAGCATTGCGATCATCGTCGAAGGCGGGTGACCGAACTTGTGCGCAAACGAAGTGCCGACCTTTTCACCGACGTTCTATTAAAGAAAGCCCAATCTCAGGCTCTGTTCACGCTACCAGGTATAATTATCTCTTCATTCATATCACAGCAGTGCGGTCTGCGGGAGACTGCCTGTGAGACATGCTTCCAGGGACACGCCCGGCGGCTGACTCTGACTCGGAGTCTCGTCAACCATCGCGCGATGATCTCGCCCGTACTCGGATCAAAAATGTGCTCCCGAATACGATGTCTTTTCCTCAAATCTTCCGACATAGCTCGTCTACATGCGAAGAACAGCCCTTCAGTAAAGGAATGTCAATTGTACAAGCATGCTCAGTGACCTGGACGAATCGACCAAGTTTTCGCCGCGGACGCCGGCCGACTCACTCGTTCACTGCAACGACTCCCGCCGCCAAGCGCTGAACTCGGAATTACTCGCTCTCTCTAGCCTTGAAGCTTTCTCGCACCCCTTTTCGAGTTTCAAACAGATATACGCCTTTGAAGGTTGACTGGACCTGAGCCAATCGCAGACCGATCTCACGGCCGAGTGCGCCGAGCTTCGGAATCTCGCGCGGTTAGCTGATTGGCTTGACTTCACGCGCGCCGACGCTCCTTTCCCTCTCCCCACTCACTCGCACCACTCGCACCACTCGCACCACTGGCCTCGACTCGGACTCGGCACTGATCGCACCACGCCACACCTCGACTTCACATGCTTTCACATCGTCACATGCGCCATTCAATCCGCAAGATGCAATTCGATCTCTCTCAACTACAGCTCAACGTGTCACTTCAAGCCGGCTGATGCGGGCACGGTGCGACGTCGCACGACAAGACTATCAACACCTCCAACCTCGTCATTTTCGGCACGATACGATGGGCAATCCTATCTGAGAGGGAGTGGTCACTTTCAGCAGCGTGCTAGCTTGCCTCGATGCATCGCTCGAGCGTTTTCGGTCGGACACGTGCTCGGTCACCCCGATCGCGCCCTCGACATTGGCCGACTCGCTGCCATCCGAGCCTCGCACCACACCGCTCTGACTGGTATGGTCATACTCTGCGCATCAGCACCATCGACAAGACGCTCAACTATCCCGAGGTCATCAATCGATGCAAACATTACTCGATCCTCGTCGCCCCACCCCCAAACACCACTGTCGACCAGTGACGATCTCCTCCGCCACCCCCACATCGTGCACCCGCGTCGTTAACGTCAACCAATCGCACGAATGCATTCCCTCACATCTCTTTCTTGATCGAGTCGAAGAGTCTCATCGACGTGGCTAGCTTGGGGTTTGTTGGAACATCTGTTGCACGACTCGACTGATTTCGTCAATGTCAAGATCGGAGACGTTCATCGGCACAAGCACTTTCACCCCGTCTCGACTGCGCCGCGAATCACTCAACCTCCCGCGCTCGTCGTCCAGCTCGTCGAATCATCCATCCAAAGCCACTAAGTCTCATCTCGTGCTAAACATCCCACGTTCCTGCTCGCCCTCCTCGCCATTCGAATCGATCGGACTTGCACGCTGGCTTTCAACCTCGTCGATCGCACCATCTAATCAACTTTCCGGCAAAACTCTCGAGATTGGCCACGGAACGCCACCTCATCGCTTCACATCTTACTCAAAGTCCATCGTCCGTTGCGCACGTTGAACCGTACAATCACGACTGGCTTCTCCGGACCTCTCGGCGCTCGGTTTCGGCGTTGGATCGTGACGATCCTGCGACAATCGATCTTGGCGATTCGCTCGACCAGCTTGATACGTGCGATCACTGTCCCACCTCGGCGACTTGCGCGTTTGTACAATCTTTGGCAACCCTGGACATGCGGTCATGAACTGCGATCGGCGTTGCATGGCGCTCCATCTCCTCTCGTTTCGCTTGCACTCACCTCGCTGGGTGTCGACGAACTCGTTTGGCAGTCACAAAGCGAGCAAACATCCGAAAGGTCAGTGCGGCCCTTCAACCTGACGTCCTTAACTCTCTTCACACCGCGTGTTGCAAGTCTGTGCCCTCTTGCTTATGTTTGACTCTTCTTTCGCTCCACCAGGTCTCATTCCGGCCTGCGCCTAACTCGACTCTTTAAACTTTGACTCGCTCGAAACCGTTTCTAGCTCTCATGGATAAATGATCGTCGACTCTTCCAATTGAGGATTCAGACTTCTTCGGGGGGACTTGCTCTGCTCGACTTTGATCTCCTCTCAATCGGCCCTGACCTCAAACTCAGTGCGATAGATCGCTCGTCGAGGATGGTGGAAGCTCGTATCTTTGCCGTTGCTGCCTCCGCCACCCAAGACTCGATAAAGACTCGATATTCGCCGATCCCTCGCACCACTCGACTCGACTCGACTCGTCTTTTCTCTCACTGCACGAAGACACGACGACGCAACACCTCTTCGCCATGGTGAAACACGACTTGGCCGGTACATGCGGCTCGACCTTACTCGACCCGGCACTTGAAGTGTGAACCCGAGCCGGCTGAGGCAAGCGCGGAACCCATTCAGCAACTGCAGCACCTTCAACATCGCCAATCGGCTTTCAACGACTCGATAACGAGCTCGAAGGTACCTGGCTATGTCACTTGCTCACTTGAGCCATCGCGACCGGAACCAGGGTTCCCCATTAGATAAGATAATCTCGCAGATATTAGATATCTATCTAAAAAAATTGGGCTCTGGCCCTTATCTATCTATCTCCCATCTTAGTCAGATATCTTAGATAGATGCCTAGATATCTAATAGATATCTAAGTGGGTTAAGATGAGATATAGATAGATATCTTAGGAGATAAGATGCCAGATATCTTCGCTTGGAGGCGGTCGATTGGGACTCGTAGGAGCCTGTTGGGTGGCCAGTACGACATTGTAAGTATCACAAAATGTGGATGAACTGGCAAAGCTGGCTCTCTGTTCACTGTTTTCTGATTCTCTTGTATTGATAAGTGCTGGGAAGACGAAACATTGCTCAGTCAAGCGGGAGAATGCATTGATGCCGATCGTTGTGCTAATCCGTGTCGTCAGAGTCGTCCGAAATATCCACCTCCGCTGGAACGACTGCCATGACGTCTTTGACTTTTACTTCTTCTCAGCTGACCTAGCGAGCTTACCAGAGATCATTTGCAGAGCCGGCTCTCAGTCAAAGTAAGTCTGTGCCTCTCCGTCGATGGCGCCGCGTATTCCGTACTCACAAGCTCCTCCTCAGCCGTGGGGAGGTCCGACTACATACTGCTTCCGCAAAGACTATCGATTATAGTCGTTCGGCGAGGTGTGAGAGTGCGAGTGTGCAAGTGTGCAAGTGTGCGACGAAAGAAGAGGACCGGGGCGGGTAGACTGCCAAAATTTCACAATTGCACCTCCTTTCTCTGTGCGATTAGTTGATGAAGCACTCTGACAGCAGAAGCGTCTGAAGGGGTGCCAAATTGGCCCGTCGGCAAGCCGTGCCGCCTCACCCACGGTCAGCGGTTGGGCCAAACCATGGGGCACAAACATGGGGATTGAGCCGAATACGATCATAATTCGATGTCCTCGCTAGGGAGCAAGAACCTCCTTAGGGGAAAGTACAACTTCCAGCGCAACAGGAGTCTGTACCAGACACCAAAAAAGTTAAGATATCTTAAAGATATCTAAGGAAACCCCCGGGGCCTTATCTATCTATCTAAGATATTCGGCCCCTAGATAAGATGACATCTATATCTTAGCGAGATATGCTAAGATAGATATCTTGACATCTAATGGGGAACCCTGACCGGAACTGCTCGACCTCGGACGACTCGCTCAGACCGCCCACAGTGAGCTGTTTCGATCTGAGCTCTCGCTTGCGATTTGCACCCCTATATATATGGGCAATTCCCACATACCACATACCACAGACTCCCGAGAGACCCTTGCAAAGAAGCTCGCACGAGCACCCTGTGCTATTTGACAAGCCCGCGCCTAGCCTGCAAAGAAGCTCGCGCGAGCATCTTGTGGTATTCGACAGCCGCGCGCCCAGCGTGTCAGATACCACAGACTCCGGCGCCTGCCTTGCAAAGATGCTCGCGCGAGCATCTTGTGCTATGTGACATCCGCGCGCCCAGCCTGTCAGATACCACAAGAAGCTCACGCGAGCATCTTGTGCTATTCGACATCCACGCGCCCAGCCTGTCAGATACCACAAGTATATAGGTATCATAGGTGGGGTACAGCCCAATTCCGGTTTACGTTTTGGATTAGAACCCCAAATCCCCAGTGAAAATGAAAAGTGGCAGTGCAGGGGGAATTGCTCGTGCACTGCTGAAATCCGGTTGCTCGAGGATGGAAGGCGACCCGGGGTCAAAATCGCCAAATCGCAGTGCAGGGGAAATTGCTCGTGCACTGATGAAATCCGGTTGTTCGACGCTGGAGGGCGACACACCGAGTAACCCTGCCAAGCCCAGAGCGCTGAACCGAGATGGGATCCGAAACGAGATTCCCATTCGGAAATCGTCGGAGATCGTCGGAGATCGTCGGAGATCGTCGGAGATCGTCGGGCTGGCGGCGTGGCGTGGGGCGGTAGACTTGCAGTGCTTTGTGTGCAGGTCAGATGGAAGCGGTCTCTTCTTGCCGGCTCTGTAGAAGAAATGTCTCGCCCACTCGTCTGTGAATACTACACAAACCGCTCAGCATCTCGGAGAAACTCGACAAAAATCGTACTCGGACTGTAGCACGGTTTTAATGGTCCAGAAAATGCAGAAATGTTCGTACATGACGTCTGATCGGAACGACGTTGATACGACAGGCCCCTGCGGCAGACTCAACAGTATTCTGGTACATCCACTACAGGGCCGCAATGCAGCCAAAAACAGCCGTTTTAGGTACATGGGTTGCGGGTCGACGGGTTCAACCTTGGGACTTCGCGCGCTTGGTGAGCTGATTGGCTTGACTTCACGTTCGCGCGCGCCAACGCCCCTTTCCCTCTCCCCACTCACTTCTCACTCGCACCCCTTGACTCGGCACCGCACTGACCGCACCACGCCACAACTCGACGTCACATGCTTTCGCATCGTTTACATGTTCCATGCAATCTGCAAGATGCACCTCGATCCAACTACAGCTCGACGTGTCACCTCAACCCGACTGATTCGGGCACGGTGCGACGTCGCACAAAATGGTTAACAGCAAGTCCAACGCTGCCATCTTCAACACGATACAACTAAAACTGCGACCTAAGAGGGCGCGGCCACTTTCAGCAGCGTGCTAGCTTACGTCGATGCATCGCTCGAGCGTACTCGGTCGGACACGTGCTCGGTCAGCGCATCGCCTCGATCACCCCGGTCGCCCTCTCGCCACTTGACCGATGAGTGTGGGTGAGCTCTTCATTCAGATAGTACCAAGCTCTCACTTCATTCGCTCACCTCGTGATCGTCTTTGCTGCTCATCACTCTAGTTCAGATCGCGCGTTGGCCGACCCGCTGGCAACCGAGCTTCGCACCGAACCGCTCTGTGACTTGTAGGACCATACTCTGCGCATCCCTCATCAGCACCATCGAAGAGGCGCTCAACTTTGCTGAGGTCTCGAATTGATTCTCGTCGCTCCACTCCGAACGCACTGCGACCTACGCCAATCTCCTCCGCCACCCCCACATCGTAACGTCAACCCATCACACGAATGCAATCCCTCGCATCTTCTTCTTGATCGAAGCGAAGAGAGTCATCGACGCGGCAAGCTCGGGGCTTGTCGGAACATCTGTTGCACAATTCGACTGATTTCGTCGATGTCCAGACCGACACCTTCATTGGCTCAAGCACTTGCACCCCGTCTCGACCGCGCCGCGATTCACGCAACCTCCCGCGCCCTCATCCTCCTCGTCGAGTCATCCACCCAAAACCACAGACTGTCTATGTCCCGACTCGTCGTTGCAAACATCTCGACCGTCCTTGCACACTGGCTTTCAACCTCGTCGATCACTCCTACCGATCAACTTCCCAGCAAAACTCTCGAGATGTTCCACGGCACACTCCTCATTGCTTTGCAACTTACTCGAACTCCATCCTACGTTGCGCACGTTGAAACATAAAGTCCCGAGTCGCCGCTCGATTTTGGCCTCGGACCGTGACGGTCCTTCGCATTCTCAATCCAACTCGGCGACTCGCTCGACTAGCTTTATTCGTGCGATCATCATCCCACCTCTGCAAGATGCGCGTTCGTACCCGCTTCAGCAGCCCTGGTCATGCGGTCATGGACCGCGATCAGCATCGCACGGTGCTCCATCCCTTCTCGCTTCGCTTGTCACCTCGCTTGGGACGAACTCGTTTGGCAGTCACAACACGAGCAACGTCCGAAAGGTCAGTGAGTGCCTTTAACCTGAAGGCTTTCCCTTCCTCCACACCGCGTGTGGCAAATCTGTGCCCTCTTGCTTATGTTTGACTTTTCTTTCGCTCCACCAGGTCATGGATTTCGGCCTGCGCTTAACTCGACTCTTTAAACTCCGACTCGCTCGAAACCGTTTCTAGCTCATGGATGAATGATCGTCGACCCTTTCCGATTGAGAATTGAGGCCCTTCTGGCGAAACTTGCTTTGCTCGACCTCGATCTCCTCTCGATCGGCCCTGACCTCAAAACTCAACTCGGTGCGACAGATTCGAGGAGCGTGCAAGCTCTCAACTTTGCCGCTGCTGCATCCGCCACCCAAGACTCGATATCCGCCGATCCCTCGCACCATTCGACTCGGCTCGACTTTTCCTCTCACTGCACGAAGACACGGCGACGCAACGCCTTGCTGCCATGGTGAAACGTCACTTGCCCGGTACATGCGGCTCGACCCTACTCGACCCGGCACTTGGCGTGTCACCTGGAGCCGGCTAAGGCAAGCATGACACCGTTTAGCAACTGCAACACCCTCACCCTCCCCAATTGGAACGACTCGATAACAAGCTCCAAGATACCCACAGTTGCGTCCGGGCTATGTCGATTGCTCACTTGAGCCATCGCGACCGGAACTGCTCCACCTCCGATGACTCGCTCAGACCGCCCCCAGTGAGCTGTTTCGATCTTAGCTCTCACTTGCGACTCGCACTCCTTGCTGATGAGACGAAGATATGCTGTGTCACCGCGTACTGCAGATCGTTGATCACGGAAGACCTGCAAGGGGAGCGCTCAGTCGAATGGAGCTTCCCTCGCACGCCCTACATTCGAGTTGCAAATCACCCTTCCTCGATACATCCCATGACGAGTCTCAAGCACGATTGCGTCGAGATGGGAGATCCGCATTGCGCCTCAAGCAGTATCACCCCATGTCGGCTGCCCCGCGAATCACTCACCTGCCCGCCCTCGTGATCCAGCTCGTCGAGTCATCCGTCCGAAATCACAGAGCGTCTACGTTTCACCCATTGCACCTCAACATCCCACATTCCCGCTCGTCTCCTTGCCGTTCAAGTTGACCGGACTTGGACACGGGGTTTTCCACCTCGTCGATCGCACCGACCAATCGACTTTCCGGCAAAGCCCTCGAGATTTGCCACAGCATGCCACAGCATGCCACCTCGTTCCTCCACCTCTTCCTCGAAGACCATCCTCCGTTGTGCACGGTGAGCCATACAGTCAGGACTGGGGCTTCTCCGGACCACTCGGCGCTCGAATCAGGCTTCGCGCCATGACGATCCTTCGCACTCTCAATCGACCTCGGCAATTCGCTAGGCCAGCTGGATATGTGCGATCGCCATCCCACCTCTGCGACATGCACGTTCGTACAGACTCTGGTGATTCGGTCGTGGACAGCGCTCAGCGACGCACAGTTCTCCATCCTCTCTCGCCTCGCCTGTTCATGCACTCACCTCGCATGTGTCGACGAACTCGTTTGGGAGTCACTAAGCGCGCAAACGTCCGAAAGGTCAGTGCATGCCCTCAACCTGAAGTCCTCTCCCTCCACATCTCGTGTTGCAAGTGTGTGCACTATCGCTCATGTTTGACGATTGAATTGCTCCACCAGGCCTTAGTTTCCCAACTGCGCTCAACTCGACTCTTTGGACTCCGAACTGCTCGCAACTGTTTTCAGTCCGTCTCCCGGAAGAATGGTCGTCGCCTCTCCACTTGAGGATCCAGACTTTTTCGGCAGGACTTGCTCTGCTCGACGCTGATCTCCTCTCCATCGGCCCCGACCTCAAAACTCAGCTTGGTGCGACAGATCGCACGTCGACGAGTATGCAGGCTCTCATCTTTGCCGCTGCTGTCTCCGCCACCCAAGACTCGATATTTGCCGATGTCCTGTGCGAGGAGGCTTCTCCAACCATCCGAACTCTTGTGGGTGACCTAGCGCCCGGCCGGCTCGCCTCGAGATTGAGAACGACGGACCACCTCGACTCTTTGCCCAACCGCTTGAGCGATGTTTCCTCCTTTCCCTGCATTTTCGATGTGCAAATATCTCCGTATGTGCGCCTTGATGCAATACCATGTGGTCTTTGAGCTCATATGTGCGTGTCTGAGAACCGTCGGATCTTCCTGCCGGATTTTCCTGCGGCCTCCGATGTGGTCCTTCCGGGAAGGACCCAAATGGAATGTTCTTGTATCTAATCCAGCACCAGAACTGGACATCTGAGTATATTGCAGTGATCTCTGCGAAGTCACTGGATCGATTGTCCTCCTCGCTTACGCCGACCGAGCTGATGGCATCCCGCCGTGGTCCATTCGGAGTTGGCTTCCACCCTGTGATTGCATCCCTAGCCATCTTATATAGGCTCTTTCCGTCTGTAGCAACTGAATCGTGTGTGTACGGGAGCTGCTTGCGGGCGTATGCCGTGATTCGACACCGAAACGTTCCTCGGTTTTCACGCAAAGTCGAACCTGTGCGACCCGTATGCCTCACCGGCGATCACGACTGAAAGTCTGCTCTGGGACCGCAAAGCACCCCATGGAATCATCCGTCAAGGTTGAGAAATTGAATTCAGAAGGTCCTTGCCTCGAGCGTCGGAGGATCATTGACCGATCGACTCGCGAAAAGTAAAGGAGCCGAGTTTGCGCGATCGAGAGGACCCTCGAGTCCTCACGCGACTTTTCAAGTCCTGATCAGAAGTCGAAATTGACTTCAACGCAGTGGTCATCTCGTGATAGACCTTTCGATCGTAGTGATGCAAATTCAATTATGGCATGCTTCAAGACATTTGGCCTGCAGCAGTGACCCGTTCGAAAGGACCAGATCGAACTAGATCATGTGCTGCGGCATAACTTTCGCTCATTGATCTTGGAGAACGCTCCCGATGAAAATACGGCATCAACACCGCAATCCAGCGCTGAACACTTATCGACAAGTTTTGTTTTGAGATTAGAGTGTTTTGAGATTGAGCAGGATGGAGCAGCGAGAATGAGTCGATCCTTAGTTGGTTCTCGGGTCGGCGACGATCGACTCGGAGCCTTTTCACTGACGATGCTAAGTGGATCGTTCTCTGCGTACGACCACATATCCCTGCATTATTCCAGGCGAGAAAGTTTACACCGAAAGGAAATCGTCAGATCGAACGATGCCCGTCCGAAGGTTCGCACCCATCATCGACCTTTGATCCGACTATCGACCGACTGAATGACGGAACAGACCAACCTCTCGAGCTCGATCTCGCCCCCAACCGTGCTCATCCCCTTGCCACCACGTGCGAAGTAGGAATCTGCTCGGACCTCGCAATGACGGCCTGACTATATAGTAGACACTAATCAAATACCGAATGCCAAATCCTCCCGCCAGCTGCCCGCCAGCTCTCCGCGCACTTGAGGCTGACCCTGGCAAAGATGCCCTTGATATTTTGAGGCGCGCAACTCTGTGGGCTACCCCTGAGCCCAGAGCGCTGAACCGAGATGGGATCCGAAACGAGATTCCCATTCGGAAATCGTCGTCGGAAATCGTCGGGCTGGCGGCGCTGCCTCGCGCGGTAGACTTAGTTTGTGTGCAGGTCAGATCGAAGCGGTCTGTTCTTGCCGGCTCTGTAGAAGAAGTGTCATGCTCGCCCACTCGTTTTTAAATACTACATGAACCGCTCAGCATCACGGAGAAACTCGACAAAAATCGTACTCGGGCTGTAGCTCGATTTTGATGGTCCAGCAAATGCAGAAATGTTCGTACATGACGTCTGATCGGGACGACGATACTACAGGCGGCTTGGATAGACTCAACAGTGTACTGGTACATTCACCACATGGCGGCAATACAGTCAAAAACTGCGGTTTTAGATACATGGCTTTGAAATCTCGCGCGCTTGATCAGCTGATTAATTGGCTCAACTTCATTCGCGCGCGCCAACGCTCCTTTCCCTCTCCCCACTCACTCGCACCACTTGACTCGACTTGGACTCGGCACTGATCGCACCACGCCACAACTCGACGTCACATGCGCCAGTCAATCCGCAAGATGCAACTCGATCTCTCTCAACTACAGCTCGACGTGTCACCTCAACCCGACTGAGGTGGGCACGGTGCGACGTCGCACAAAACGGTTAACAGCATGTCCAACGCTGCCATCTTCAACACGATACAACTAAAACTGCGACCTAAGAGGGCGCGGCCACTTTCAGCAGCGTGCTAGCTTACGTCGATGCATCGCTCGAGCGTACTCGGTCGGACACGTGCTCGGTCAGCGCATCGCCTCGATCACCCCGGTCGCCCTCTCGCCACTTGACCGATGAGTGTGGGTGAGCTCTTCATTCAGATAGTACCAAGCTCTCACTTCATTCGCTCACCTCGTGATCGTCTTTGCTGCTCATCACTCTAGTTCAGATCGCGCGTTGGCCGACCCGCTGGCAACCGAGCTTCGCACCGAACCGCTCTGTGACTTGTAGGACCATACTCTGCGCATCCCTCATCAGCACCATCGAAGAGGCGCTCAACTTTGCTGAGGTCTCGAATTGATTCTCGTCGCTCCACTCCGAACGCACTGCGACCTACGCCAATCTCCTCCGCCACCCCCACATCGTAACGTCAACCCATCACACGAATGCAATCCCTCACGTCTCTTTCTTGATCGAATCAACGGGTCTCATTGACGCGGCAAGCTCGGGAGCTGTCGGAACATCTCATGACTCGACTGATTTCGTCGATGTCCAGACCGAGACCTTCATCGGCTCAAGCACTTTCACCCGTCTCGACCCCGCCGCGAATCAGTCAAACTCCCGCGCTCGTTATCCAGCTCGTCGAGTCATCCGTCCAAAGCCACTACGTCTCGCTATAATCATCCCCCGAACTCGTTTGGCAGTCACAAAGCCAACCAACGTCCGAAAGGTCCGAGAGTGCCTTTAACCTGAGGGCTTTCCCTTCCTCCGCACCGCGTGATGCCAGTATGTGCACTCTTGCTTATGTTTGACCTTCCTTTCGCTCCACCAGGTCATGGATTTTCGCCGGCGCTTAACTCGACTCTTTAAACTCCGACTCGTTCGAAACCGTTTCTAGCTCTCATGGATGGACCTCGATCTGCGAATCGACGATGGTGCAAGCTCGTATCTTTGCCACTGCTGCCTCGGCCACCCAAGACTCGACATTCGCCGATTCTCGTGGCAATCGACTCGACTCGTCTTTCTCTCATTGCACGAAGACACGACGACGCAACGCTTTGCCTTCACGGTGAGACGTCACTTGCTCGGTACATGCGGCTCGAGTTGCTCGACCCGGCACTTGATGTGTCACCCGGAACCGGCTGAGGCAAGCGGAACCCATTCAGCAACTGCAACACCCTCACCATCACCCATCGGAACGACTCGACGACGAACTCGAAAGTGTCTACATATAAGTCCGGGCTATGTCGATTGCTCACTTGAGCCATCGCGACCGGAATTGCTCGACCTCGGACGACTCGCTCAGACCGCCCACCGTGAGCTGTTTCGATCTTAGCTCTCACTTGCGACTTTCACTCCTTGCTGATGAGACGAAGATCTGCCGTGTCACCGCGTACTGCAGATCGTTGGTCTCGGAAGACCCGGAAAGGAAGCGCTCCCTCGAAGGAGCTTCGCACCGATTCGCTCACACGCTCGCATAGCCCACATCCGAGTTCGCGCATTGCCACCCCCCGGTTTATCTTGCGACAAGCTTCCAGCACACAGACTAATGTCGGCCTTCTTGCCACTGGAGATCCGCCAGGAACGCTTGCTCGCCCAGCAGCTTTGGACCCGCTGCGAGCGAATTGCTCAATCGCCCGCCCTCGTCATCCAGCTTGTCAGAGCAACACAGATCGTCTACGTTTCAACTCATAGATTCAAACATCTTGGTTTCCGCCTGCGTCGCCCGTCAATTGGACCGGAGTTGCACGCTGATTTTCAACCTCGTCGATCGCTCCGACCGATCGACTTCATGGCAAAGCTCCCGAGATGTGCCACGGAACACCTCCTCACTGCTTCACACCTTTATGGATCAACGTGCGCAACGTAATATGGAGTCCAATTAAGATGTGAAGCAATGAGGAGGTGTTCCGTGGCACATCTCGGGAGCTTCGCGACTCGGGCTTCTCCACACCACTCGGCGCTCGCTTTCGGCGGTGGACCGTGACGATCCTTCGCACTCTCAATCAACCTCGGCGATTCGACCAGCTTGTTACGTGGGATCACCCTCCCACCTCTCCGACTTGCACGATCGTACACGTTTCATCAACCCTGGACATGCGTTCATGAACTGCGCTCAGCGACGCACGGTGTTCCATCTCCCCTCGCTTCGCTTCTTCATGCATTCACCTCGCTTGGTGTCGACAAACTCGTTTGGCATTTACTAAGCGAGCACACGTCCGAAAGGTCAGTGCGTGCCATCAACTTAAGGGCCTTCCCTTCCTCCACACCTTGTTTAGCAAGTAGGTGCACTCTTGCTTATGTTTGACTTTTCTTTCGCTCTCAGATTCCAGCCTGCGCCTAGCTCGACTCTTCAGACTCCAAATCGCTCGAAACCGTTTCTCGCTCTCATGGATGAATGATCGCCGACTCTTTCCAATTGAGGATCCAGACTTTTTCGGCGAGACCTGCTTTGCTCGACTTCGATCTCCTCTCAATCGCCCCCGACCTCACAACTCAACTCGGTGGGACAGATCCCTTGTCGAGGAGCATGCAAGCTCTCGTCTTTGCCGCTGCTGCTTCCGCCACCCAACACTCGACAATCGCCGATCACTTGTGTGAGGAGGCTTCGTCAACCATGCGAACTCTTCTGGGCGACCTAGCGCCCTGCCCGCTCGCCTTAACATTGAGAACGAACGACCACCTTGACTCTTTGGCCAACTGCTCGAGCGACGTTTGCTCCTTTCACTTCTTTCCCTGCATTTCTGGGGTACGAATAATTGAGGATGTGCTCTTTGATGCAATACCAGGTGGTCTTTGAGCTCATGTGTGCGTGTCTGAGAACCTTTGGATCTTCTTGACCCATTCTTGCCGGGTTTTCCTGCGGCCTCGGACATGGTTCTGCCGCAAACGACCTCTATGGGATGTTCTTGTATCGAATCCGACATAAACTCTGGCCTACCAACTGCTGAACGCAAGCAAAACTGTGTCGGAGTATGTCAAAGTGACACACTGGATCGATCGTATTTGTCGCTCATGCGTATGCGTCGCCCATGCCGACCAAGCTGCAGTGACATGCCGCGGTCCGTTTAGAGTGGGCGTTGTGGTACTCGGGATCCCGTCAGAAGCAGCGGATGTAGCCGGCCCGGTTCAGGAGTCATTTCGGTTGTGGCGGGACCGAGTTCCGGAGTCGTTTCAAATTGTCAAGGTCAACACCGGTTCGGGCAGGATCAAACACCGGTTTCGGCAGATTTCTCAGCGATAAAGCGGTCCCGAGTAAACTCAGCACTTCGATGACTCAAGGATTGACCGTCAGCAACAAATCATGTGGCAGGATTTGAGTGGAAGACCGGGCCGGATGCGCGGATGAAGGAGTGAAGGGGAATGAAAGGAGCGCAGCGGCCTGAATGATCGGAACGTTTGAGGAGAGTTTGCTTCTTGTTCTTAGGCAGACCACTTCTAGGATCCTATACAGCATCTTAGCTGGTTCTCACTTTCTGCGTGATTCAAGTCTCGTCTCTCGTCTCCAGTCTCCGGTCTCAGCGTTTCGTTCTCATACTCGGTCTCGTTTCTCGGTTTGGGCTCCTTTCTCGTCTCTCGTCTCTCGGCCGTTCCGGTCGCTCTCTCGTATCTCGTCTCCCTCGTCTTCGGTCTCGGTTCCATCGTTTCCCCTTATCTTTACATTTCATCTTTGATCGACCGCTTTGCTATACCATAGCGTCAACCTTGCACTCGCATCCCTAGCCTTTTACTATAGCCTCTTTCCGGCTTTAGCAAGTAATCAAGTGTGAAGAACAGCTGCTTGCAGAGGTAGGTCGTGATTCAACAGGGAGGGGCTTCCTCGACTTTCACGCAAAGTCGAACTTCCGTGACCCGCATCCCTCACCGACGATCATGACTGAAAGTATGCTTTGACACCGCAAAGCACCCCATGGATTCTTCCGTCAAGATTGAAAAAATTCATTGAGAAAGTCCTCCTTCGAGTGTCGAAGATCACTATCCGATCGACCCGCGAAAACTAAAGGGGCCGAGTTTGCGCGATCGAGAGCCGACCTCCTTGCGCGACTTTTCAACTCCAAATCAGCACTCGAAAGTGACTCCAACACAGTGACCACCATGTGATAGATCTCTCAAAAGTATTCATGTAGCTTGCAACATGCTTCGATGCGAGGTATATGGATTGCAGCAATGACCTGTAGGAAAGGGCCACATCGACCTAGATCATGTGTGCTGCGGATCACTTGGCTTTGTGATCTCGAAGACCGGTCCCGATGAAAATACTGCCTCAACAGGACCGCAATCTAGCACTGCACGCGTATGGGCAACTATATTCGAGTGTTCTGAGAATGAGAAACATCTATCTGCCGGATGGGGCTGCGAGAACGAGTCAATTACTCCTTACTAGTCTCTCGGCTCGGCGACCATCGAGCCTTTTTGCCGACAGTGCTAACTGGACGATCTTCTCCGCGCCATCACCATATCCCTTGACTATTTCAAACGAATGGTTCTGTACCGAGAAAAAGTCGTCAGATCGACCTAACAGAGCATTGCGATCATCGTCGAAAGTGACCGAACTTGTCCGCAAACGAAGTGCCGGCCGCAGTGAGTTTTCACCGACGATCTGTTGGAGAAAGCCAGCTCTCAAACTGTATCCAGGCCGCCAGATACCACTTGAGAGCTCATCTCATCTCGACTCCGAGTAATCGGACCAACGATCTGCTCCCAGATCAGATGTGTTTGCCCTCAAACATTCCGACGCACCTCGTACATATTTTGGGAATAGCCTTTGAGTAAAAGATTGATGAGGGTACGAGTGTGCTCAGTGACCTGGACGAGTCGACCTTTTTGCCGCGGACGCCGGCCGACTCGCCCGGGCCCTCGCACCGAGTTCGGAGGTACTCGCTCTCTCTAGCTCTGAAGTTCCCTCGGATCCCTGTTCGATCTTCGAGTCTTGAAGTGCAACAGGTCGACTGGACTCGAGCAAATCGGAGACCGTCGGATCTCTCGGCCGAGCGCGCCTAATTAAGCTTTCCCGTCGCAGAGTCTGCCTGAGTTCAGCCGAGTTCAGCCGAGTTCGGTCAGCCAACGGCTCGACTTCAGAGTCGCGCGCGCCGACGCTCCTTTCCCTCTCCCCACTCACTCGCACCACTTGACTCGACTCGGACTCGGCACTGATCGCACCACGCCACAACTCGACGTCACATGCGCCAGTCAATCCGCAAGATGCAACTCGATCTCTCTCAACTTCGGCGCAACGTGTCACCTCAAGCCGACTGAGGTGGGCCCCGCGCTACGTCGCACAGCACGGTCAACATGAAGTCCAACACTGCCATCTTCAACACGATACGATGACCAGATCGATCCGAGAGGGCGTGGACCCTTTCAGCAGTGTCCTACCTTACGTCGATGCATCACTCGAGCGTACTCGGTCAGACACGTGCTCAGTCACCGCATCGCCTCGATCACCCCGATCGCCGACTTGCTACTCGACCGATGAGTGTGGGTGAGCTCTTCATTCACATAGTACCAAGCTCTCACTTCATTCGCTCACCTCGTGATCGTCTTTGCTGCTCATCACTCTAGTTCAGATCGCGCGTTGGCCGACTCGCTGGCATCCGAGCTTCGCACCGAACCGCTCTGTGACTTGTAGGACCATACTCTGCGATCACAATGCGACTTCCTCGTCAACACCATCGAGGAGTCGCTCACCCTTGCCCAGGTCTCGAATCGATGCAAATGTCACTCGACCAATATCGCCGCACCTCGAACACCACTGTCGACCGGTGGCGATCTCCCCCGCCAACTCCACATCGTTCACTCTCGTCGTCAACATTGACCGATCACTCGAGTGCAATCACTCGCTGTCACATATCTTTCTTTGAATCGAAGAGTCTCATCGACGCGGGAAGCTCTCGGAATCTGTTGGAACATGTATTGCACGACTCGGCAAGCATTCGCTCGATGCCCGTTCGAAGCTTCGCACCCATCATCGACCTTCGGTCCGATTGATCGATCAACCGACCGAACTGGCAAACTTCTCCAGCTCGATCTCGCCCCCTGTCCGTGCTCACCCCATCACCAAGACGTGCGAAGTAACAACCCGCTCGCCCATCGCGATGGCGACCGCCTCAACCGTCGACCTTCAACTCGATCGACATGGACTCACGGTCATCAACTGACCTGACCTACTCATCATGAGCGCCGACCCCACGATCGCCCCATTCTCGAATCCTATGGCAATTCACCTATCGATACGATTCACCTCACCTCATCTTGTTCTGTGTCGCCGTACCCAGCTCGACACTATCCCGTGATCTTCGCATCCACACCGGCGGGTCAGCTCGATCAATCAGGACCCCAGTCTGGTATGCTCTCCTCTCCAACCCGGGTCTCCATCGTCTCGAGTCCCTTCAATACTGACGCGTTTACAAACACTCATCTGTGTTTCACAGCATTGCCCCGACATTTTTGGCGCGCTAGATCCGACTCGCACGTCGCCCATCCTCAGCTTCGCACCGACTTGCTCAAACATCGCCCCCACCCCATGCCACGAGCTTGTGATTCAATACTACGATCGCCAATACGACTTCGCTCGACCCGAGTTCTGTCATTTTCTTGGGATCAGCTTGACTCTTCGGCGCTCTTTTTGGCTGGCTCGGCACTCGAGCCATTTCATCGAGCAGCTTTGTCTCGGCTCGACCGTTCGGCACTCCGATGATCAGCTGGACCCGTCCATCTCTCAGGCAACTTGCTTCAGTTCTATCAAAGCGACGATCAAGCACTATTCGATGGACGATCAAGCACCAACTGACATGGGTCCGCCTCGATGTGCCCACCCTGCCCGAATCGCCACTCCAACTCGCTCGGTCAACTCGAGCTCTAACTCAACCATACTTCGAACGTCGACAGCCCTTCCTTTCTGACAGCCGTCGCGACGGGACCACGTGCTCGACCACCGACGACGGGCTCAGACCGCCCACAGTGCACAGTGTAGATTGATGGTCACGAACGACCCGGACTAGGAGCGCTCCTTCGAACGGAACTTCGCAGCGATGCTTACAAGCTCGCACGCCCAGCATTTGAGCCCGCAGATCACCATCCCTCGGTACCTCTCGCCACCAGTTTGAAGCACGAGTGCGTCGATGTCGAGATGGGAGACCCGCATTGCCTCAAGCACTATCACCCCGTCTCGACCCCGCCGCGACTCACTCCATCGCCGGCCCTCGTGATCCGGCTCGTCGAGTCATCCGTCCACACCACTAAGCGCTACGTTTCACCTCATGGCACCTCAACATCTCACATTCCCGCTCGTCTTCCTTGCCGGTCAATTCGACCGGACTTGCACGCTGACTCTCAACCTCGTCGATCGCTCCGACCGATCGACTTCACGGCAAAGCTCCTGAGATGTGCCACGGAACACCTCCTCATTGCTTCACATCTTACTCGAACTCTTTATTACGTTGTGCACGTCGAGCATAAAGTCCCGACTCGGGCTTCTCCGGACCACTCGGCGCTCGATTTCAGCGTCGGATCGTGACGATCCTTCGTACTCTCAATCGACCTCGGCGATTCGCTCGACCAGCCTGATACGTACCATCCCACCTCGGCGACTTGCATGTTTGTACATGCTTCACCAACTCTGGACATGCGGTCATGGACTGCGCTCAACCACGCACGGTGTTCCAACCCTTCTCTCTTCGCTTGTCACCTCGCTTGGTAGCGACGCACTCGTTTGGCAGTCACTAAGCGCGCAAACGTCCGAAAGGTTAGTGCATGGCCTCAACCTGAAGTCCTTCCCTCCCTCCACTTCTCGTGTTGCAAGTGTGTGCACTATTGCTCATGTTTGACGGTTGATTTGCTCCACCAGGTCTTTGATTTCCGCCTGCGCTCAACTCGACTTTTTGGACTCCGAATCACTCGCAACCGTTTTAAGTCCGTCTCCCGGCAGAATGCTCGTCGACTCTTTCTACTTGAGGATCCAGACTTTTTCGGCAGGACTTGCTCTGCTCGACGGAGATCTCCTCTCCATCGGCCCCGACCTCAAAACTCAACTCGGTGCGACAGATCACTCGTCGACGAGTATGCAGGCTCTTGTCTTTGTCGCTGCTGTCTCCGCCACCCAAGACTCGATATTTGCTGATGTCCTATGTCCTGTGCGAGGAGGCTTCTCCAACCATCCGAACTCTTGTGGGTGACCTAGCGCCCTGCCGGCTCGCCTCGAGATTGAGAACGAAGGTGTCACGAATGGGAGTTTCGCCACTCCAAGTTCGGCCTCTCAGCACCCACGTCATCCGCGTGACTTGGGCCTTCCCGCGCTTCGGACCTCCTCTCCCCGCTTCGGCACCTGCACTGCCTTCTTCTCCTCCAACTATACGCTCACAACCCTCTCGCCCCCGACTCTTACGTGAACATCAACCAAGCTCTATTACGTGATCCTTGGCCTCAACACTATTACGTGATCCTCGTGCCTCGCCTCCTCAAGCTCGCCACCTCGTCCCCGACTCCTCTGGTCTAGTTTCCCAGTTCCGTAGCTCACTTCTCTCTTTCCCTTCTGCAACTCGAATCTCGTCAAAGGTCACATCCTTGCACTCGTCCCTCGTCCTCGCCTCTTGTGAGAAGTCCCTAGAACACCTCTCAACTCGTCACTCGCCCTTGCCCTCGTCTCGAGCCCCTTCGTCCGGCTCACCTCTCCTATCTTCGTCCTTCGTGATATGGACGCGCTGGAACTCGCATACGGCATCAAACGTCTCGGACCTGCCGAATATATTCTAGGCATCCAAGTCAAACGTGGACAAGACGGCTCTATCACGCTCTCACAAGAGCGCTACCTTCGGGACATCCTTGCCAGGTTCCAATTCACCGATGCCAAGCCGGCAAGTATTCCAATGCAGCCAGGTGTCGTCCTTGACTTCGAGGACTTGGCGGCCACTCCTCAGGATCGTACGCGCTACTTGCAGGCCATCGGTTCGTTGATGTACGCCGCAGTTGGAACTCGTCCGGACCTCGCCTTCGTGGTCAGCTACCTCGCTCGCTTCTCCCAGCAGCCTGGCCCGGAGCATTGGACAGCCATCAAGCAGGTCCTCCGTTACATCAAAGGCACGCTGGACTTGGGCCTCACCTATCGCAAGACCAGCCAACCACTCCGTGGCTACTCGGATGCGAACTGGGGAGCCTGTCTAACGACCTCACGATCGACCATGGGCTACGCGTTCATCTTGTCCGGAGCCGCTATTGCTTGGTGCTCCAAACGCGAGCACAGGGTGGCCAAGTCCACTACCGACGCAGAGTACCTCTCTCTTTCGTACACAAGCGGTGATGCCATCCACCTGAGCGAACTCCTGGCTGAACTTGGCGCTCCGGTCTCCGGTCCAGTCGTACTCTACGGGGACAACCAAGGTTCGCTGGCTCTTGCGCAGCACCCGACCAACCATCAGGGGTCTCGTCATGTTCGCATCTCGGAACATTACGTCCGCGAGAGGGTAGCTGAGAAGGAGATCGAGGTCCGCTACATCGCCACCGGCGACATGATTGCCGATATTTTCACCAAAGCCTTGGGTCCCAAGCCGTTCATGTTCCATCGGGAGAATTTGGGTTTGCGAGGTGCAGTGGTATGACAGCACGGGGGGGTGTCAATATATTGCTGTTTCATCCCACTGGTATTCCCGATTATGATTAGTTACTAGTTGTTGATATTAGTCGCCCCGCGCGTCTCGAGCCTGCCTCGCGCGCGCTCCCTTAGCGCTTATCTTCTTTCTCCAACTATCTTTACTATCTTCATCGGCTCTCGTACTTACGCACTTCGTGCCTCGGCCTCAGTTCCTGAAAGTAAACGCAGTTGCAGCGGCGAACTTCTGCACGAAGATCGACCTTCAAGGTGCTTTCCAACAAAGTCGCATCAAGGACGAAGATGTGAAGAAGACCGCGTTCAGCACCCCTAACGGGATCCTGTACTCACTTGTCGCTCAACAAGGCGATCGCAACAGCACGGTTACACTACACCGGCTCGTCTCATTTGCTTTTGCTGGACTCATCAATCGCAAGATCAAACATTACGCCGACGACCTGTGGCCCATCTCTAATACCTGGGCCGAACACAAACGGGATGTCCGCGAGACTCTCGAGCGAGCCGAAGTCCACGGCATCCGCATTCCTATCTCAAAGTTCAAATTCGCTACAGAGATTCGCGACTCTCTGGGCAGGAAGATTCGCCCGGGAGAAAGCTCGATGCAGCCGGAAAAGGCGGCTGGCATCCGAGCTACCCCAGCTCCTAAGAACAAGAAGGATCTTCAACGTTTCCTAGGAGCGGTGGAATATAACCATCGATCAATCCCGCACCTTGCCGAGCTAGCGGCGCCCTTGGATGCACTGACAGGGGTGAACAGCCCCTGGAGATGGTCCCGAGCTTGCAGCGACGCTTTTGAAAGTATCAAGGCTGCATTTGACGACAGTGCCAAACTCACCTGCATTCGCTCAGACGAGCTTGCACCCGATGGTACCTTCCCAGTCCACCTAGACACCCCTCCCGGCCGAAGGAGAAAAGGTGCCAGAGAACGAATCCAAAGGGAAGTACCTCTTCCTCCAATTCGACGCCTCAGGTACAGGAGTCGGCTACATGCTAAGCATCCACGGGCTACCACTCGCGAAAGTTCTCGCCTTCCCAATTCAATTACAACACCCAGAACCAAGAGCTCCAGGGCATGTACGAAGGATTTCAACGCTTCGAAACAAAGCTGCGAGGACGTCCATTCATCGTCCTCACGGACAGCCAGACTCTTGCGAAGTTCACAACACTCCCAACGCTGTCTAGAAAACAGACGCGCATGTATCTCTACTTCTCGGAATTTGCATACACGGCTGAGCACACCGCAGGCAAGGCGAACGCCATGCCCGACATGTTATCGCAACCCCCTTGCGATGCACCCACCTACCCTGACCCATGGGCCCCGAAGTATATCGGGCCTTTCACCTGCCTCGGGTTTGACCCAGCCAACTCGACGTACAAGCTTGCCCGAGTCCGGAACGCTGTACATCTCGCGGGATCCGTAGCACGTTCCACGCATCCCAACTCAAGGTTTTTAAACCTTCAGACGAATCCCGATTCCCAAACCGACTCGTTGACTCAGTCCCGGTCTACCCGATCGACTTACCGATGGCCATCGCATACGTACTCAACCATGAACTCGTCGAGAACGAAGCAGGCGAGCTCGAAGGCACACTCGTCTACTCCGACACCCCTCAGGGACAACGAGCAGGAGCCAAAATCGGACGTGCCTCATTTAACGAACTCCTCGCGACGGGACTACACCTCGGTCCGGCTGTCCCTGAGGAGTACTTGGCCAAGAACAAGGTCACCACCATCTGGGACCTCAAACCTGTCAGACGCCAGATTCCCATCGCCGACCCTGACTATAACTTGACGACTGGCTCTCCATCTTCAGAGGAAACCCATCTCAGAATACACCAAGAGCGAGCGCTGGCATCACGCAATGAACCGCGCGGGGACCGCCCAAACGAGGGGACGCAACTTCATCAGCGACCTCGAGGAAAAGGCCGCCAAGCCAACAGGATTACCTCCGCGATGGAGAAGATCCAACGAAGTCAAGCACTGCTCGTCGACTCGACCGCCCAGCCGATCACGATAACTGGTCGTATGAGATGGAGACCGTGCGGCAGGAGGCCTCCCGCACGCCGACCGGCCGCACCTACGCGACAAGTAGCGAACGCCACTCTGGAGGACCCTCCGCCCCTGAGGGAACAACTTCGCCTACAGGCGCAGCAGGCGAGTCATCAGCGGCAGCAAACCGGCCAAGCCGAGTATCGACGTATTCAAGATCAGCAAGCCTGCGTTGAACGCACTGGCAAAACAAGCCCTCAACAACTGCCGGGATCCCCCCTCCGAGGGGCGGTGACAGTGAGCGCTGCAAGTTTCGCCGCCTTGCACCACACGCCCCAGGGCACCCCTACCCAAAGTCCATATATCACTCCAGGGGATTTGTCGATGCCGCTCATCGCCGGCCCCTCCAACGCCAGGGCACCGAAGCACTTTTGGGACCAAGCCCGAACCCGCAGACGCTGGCCGGGCAGGGCTCACCGTCGGCATCATCGAATTACAGGCAGGCCCCGACGCCTCCACGGGATTATTGAAACCCCAGGAGTAGAGACGCTCTACTCAGCGGGGGACGATGTAGGCCCGCCCTCCAATTCACTAATACTCATCAGAGCCGTTAGCCTCCATTTCCTTTTCCTGTCTCTCTCTAGCTTTGCCGTTGAACTCTCCTCTCTTTTCTTCCCCCCATCCATTCATTCTCCCCGAGTTCACACGGATCTACCTTCGATAATTGCTCGACACCGCTTATCGACTTTCTTCACTTCACTTTCCTTTCTCATCAAATACAATTCAAGGACTTGTACCGTCTTTCTCTTGCCGTTCGATAGAGAGGGTACAACCTGGGCTTTCCGCTTTCGACTTCAACACGATCTGGGAAGCCTACAGCTTTTTTGACGGTACAGGTGCTGTAGGCTTCCCAGATCGTGTTGAAGTCGAAAGCGGAAAGCCCAGGGCGCGCGAGAGCGGGCGGGCGGGCGGCGGCGGGCGGGAGAATTTCGCATTTGGTATTTGGAAATTGCCCACATAAATAGGTCGAAACACACTACTGAAGCTTCGGTGCTCCTGTCTGGTCTATGCAGGCTTGCTTTCGTTATAGCCGGGCCGCCGCATTCCCCCTGAAGCTCGCCCCACTCCTGTGGTCGATCGTATCGGGTTCGGCAGGATGATGTCGATTGGTCTGCGCATGCAGGATCTAGGAGTTTGATCATAACGCGCAGTACGAAGTCTAGTATTACAGTCACATTCGTCCATAGAAAATTGCAAAACAAGAACGCAGATGTCGAGCACGGTTCTATTCGCAAAGGGCCTTGAAAGCCGCCTGGACGTGTTCATACGACATCTGACCGGAGTTCCAAAGCGACGCAAGTTCTGGCTCTGTATCGATGCGTCTCAGCCTTGCGAAAGAAATCCAGCGAGCAATTTTGCTGCAGGACACTCAGAACCTTCTCCATGCCAGACCAACGAGATGCGCATGCGTCCAGGAGCTCCCTGAAGCCGGATCTCGTAGACAGCCCATTTTTCCTGCTTGCTGCATTGTTGAGCTTTTGGGCGTTCCACGCGTTCCAAATATCTGCAGCGTCCGACTTTTCGAAAAGGGTCGCGTCGGAAGGTTCAGATTGAAAAGCCGTGCGGGAC